CCCCCCCCCCCCCCCCGAGCCCCCTCTCCTCCACTCCTCCGGGCGAGAGCCTCTCTGCAGATTTGTGGAGTCGCAGATCGGCGGTTTTGACTCTTTATCATTCACGGGCCGAGTCGCATCTGCCAGGAGAAGATGTCCCCATCCATGCCTCCGCTGTAGAAGAGCTCTCCGTCCTGAGAAAAGGCGGCTCGGGAAGAAGTGGCTTTCTGGCTTTCAGTGGTTGGGCCTCGGAGTCCGGAACCGCAAGAGCCAGCACCGGGCCGGAGTGGGCACCTGAAGAGAGCCGAGTTCTCGGCTCCGTGCACCCCATTGCTATCGCTGCCGCCCAGCGGCGGTAGCTCGCAAAGGGCTCGAGGTCTTCATAGGGCTCCGGAAAGGCCTCCAACCTCCCGCCCCAAAAAAAGGCGCAAGGAGGCTTCGGCGGAGCCCGCCCCCCCGCCCCGGAGCCTGGAGATGCCTTGGACGTCCCAGGCCTCGGAGTGGCTGTGGCCGGGCTGAGGGCTCTGAGGCTTTCTGGCTATGGAGGACTGAGGAGCCCGGATGGACGCATCCTCTCCGGCCGTGAGCAGTGCACCTCGGCAAGGCAATTCAGTTCTGATTCTCCTCTCCTTGCACGTTTCACCTTTGGGTCCCTACGCGGGGTCAGCCGGGCGCTGCTCACGCCATCCAAATGCGAGTGGAGGACAGCAACCTTTGGAGCACAGAAGCTGAGCTGGGGACTGCGTGACCCATAAATCACGCCAAGCACCACGACTAGTTTGCTCAGTGCATGCTGGTCAACGTCTGTATATGTGCTTCTGCGACGTCCGAAATTCTCCGGGGGGCTATGCCGAAGGCGTCACCATCCGCTCCAGACTCCTGGATCAAAGCAGAAACTTTTCTCAAAATTTTGTGCCGAGCCCTTTTTGCCGCTCCTTGGCTCCCTTGCGACCCATGGAGTCACCTCAGAATGGGGGGGCCGAATTTAGGGGCCGCCTATAGGGCCATCGCTCTTTTTGGGCATCCCGCTGATTGAACGGGAAGCCAAGGTTTCCGCGGGAAGCTCCTGCGGGCAGAAGCCAGGTGTGTTGTCCGGCTTTGAAAATCACGGAAAAACAGCTCCTGGAAGGGCAGGCGCCCCTCCATGGCCTCACGCTGGCATGCATGCAGCTACAGAGTACCTTCGTAGTTTCTTCCCCGCTTCTCGTGTCGAATTCAAACCCTTCCCCGCATGCCTTCTAAAACACCTTTTTCTTTCAGGTGCACGGATCGATGCCAAAGCAAAGACAGAGCCGCACCTTCGAAGACACCGGCCCGCGAGGTGCCTCAAGGGCTTTGCGCCTCAGCGGGAGGCGTTTTCTTCTGTCTGGGAGCCACGAGAAAGTCTTCCGTGACGTGCTCAAACTCTGCCGCTTTAAAGCCTTGGGAACAAAAAGCTGACCTGGTAGAGCGCTGTGTCTCGGGCATGCGGGGAATGCAAAGAGCCAGCTGGCGCCAATCCTGCGACATGCCCAAGGACGTGGGGGACGTGGAACTCTCACTTGGCTCAGCTGCCTTCGCCAAGCTGATCTCCGGAAGCTCTTCCGGAAGGCCGCACCTTGCACATGGACTCAGCAGGCTCATGTCGCGGCTCAGAGGCCGTGAGCTCCTGGCGGCCCGGAACCAGAAAAGAGCTCTCCGCCCAGACCTGGAGAGAGGACACGGAAAGCTGAAGTCACTGAAGCGAAAAGCGCACTCTGAGAGAGAAGCGCACTTAGGGGACCCTAATATAGTACCTTA